GCTGATTATTAATGAAAAAAAAATCACTCCCATTCATATTAACTGCACACAACAAACAACTTTTTCTTCAGAGCAAAGAGGTAGGAATCTGCAAAATGTTTGTTAACCCCCCTAGCGGTCTGATTATGTCCATATTTCTGTGCTTAAAGTGGTACATTTTTTTGCATGGCAATATGTCGTTTTTTTTATTGTAGGCCTGTAATTCTTAGGAATAACTCACTGAAATCTGTCCGAACAAGAGTCTAGTAAACATCCCGGGTATGATAAAACCTGAAACACGAAATCATAAATTATAATATAATAAATAATCATAAAAATAATAATAAAATTACTTCAATAATGTAATCAAAACCAAAAACACTGAAATTTGAAATAGAGCGCCAAGTTCGCACATCACTGAGCTCAGTTGCAAAATCGTTTTCAGTGTCTGATGATGAATTTCCCCCATGAATCATTATCACTCAATTCTGTAAGTGGTTCTGATTTACTATCGCTGTTCTCTAGCCAGTCTAAAACCACTTTTGATCTAAAGGGACGCTTTTTGGACGCCATGGATGTTTCACAGTTTCCAGGCAGAAAGAACAGTAAAAATGCAGGCAGGGCGCCGGACAAAGCACTCGGGACAAAATGTATGTGAAATGGTTTGATACAGGAATGTTATACTATGTGATTTTAGTGTATTTGGTGAATGTCGCTTTTAAAATGTTTGACTTTCCCACCGGTTCCATCCCCCGTACGTCCCGTACGTCGCAGGGAACGAAACCCGGAAGACGGATGCCGGCATCGGCTGGAGGAGATGGCCGGGGACGCTGCAGGGGGGACATCGCAGGAGCGCAGGACAAGGTAAGTGCTGGAGGGATCCCGGAGCAACACTGCAGTGTATTCTTGAGTGTAGCTCGGGGTTACCGCTTTTGGTACTGAAAGTTATCCCCGATCTACACTCGGGAATACCGCCAGGGGAGCTAAATCCATGCAACATGCAACATAGAGGGGATTGTTTTTCCTCAACACAAATGGAGTTACGCTTACTGCATCCCCTGCAAAAGTCCCACAAAAACTTGTTAATCCTGCCATTGAAGTCCACATCGTGTAGCTTCCTGTGATAGGGGACAATGCTGTTAAACTGCTATTTAGTCAGAGCAGCTTTGCACCTTCATGTAAGCAGTGACTGCTTGCCCTACATTGGGATAAGAAGATGTTGCTTGGGATGTATTTTTTACTGCTTATCCCTAAGCCTGTAGCTGGTCATTCATTAGTTGGTCGGTTTTTGGTAGCTGCTATGCATTTTCATGATAGTCCTGAAGTTAAACTAAATAAAGGAAAACTCCACTTTTCCCCAAAAAATACTCCCTTGCATTGTGGTGCATTGTTTTTCTAAAAACAGTGCATGAACCGTTGTTTGGGTGGCTTTAAAGAAGTGTAGCCAAAGCTTTTTTGGCCATACATCTCTAATGGATCACAGAAGTGCAGTTTGTTTTGCACTCCTGTGACCCTTTTCAGCCAACAGCCACCTAAAGCCCATTGTCGGCTGACGTCATTTAGTCGGTCCTGGATCAGGAAAGATCCCGACCATATATTGTTGGGATCCACCCAAATAACTGGACCGGCACCTGGCTCAGCCTTTCAGCGATCCCCTGAAAGCCGGAGCCATCTCCTTCTGCTTCTTCCATAGCCCAGAACTCCAGTGAGCACTGGAGGGGAGAGCAGAGAGTTCCGGGTCTCTGCTCAGAGTGGAGGGGGAGAACTGAGCAATCAGCAGTGTTTGATCGCTCAGTTCTTACTACAGAGCCAGCGGGGTACAGGTGTCATGTCGATGCTGCATCCATCTTGATGAGTATAATCATTTTCTTTGTTTGTTTTCTAAATCCCAAACTTCTCTTTTAAAGCAGTTCATGTTAACATGGGGCATAACACTAGTATTGTGTACATAATTGTGAAGTGGAAGGAAAATGATAAATGTTTTTCAACATTTTTTACAAATAAATATCTGAAAAATGGGGTGTGCATTTATATTCAGCCCCCTTTACTCTGATACCCTTAACTAAAACCTAGTGGGGCCAATTGACTTCAGAAGTCACCTAATTAGTTAATAGAGTCATCCTGTGTGTAATTTAATCTCAGTATAACTACATATGTTCTGTGAAGCCCTCAAAGGTGCGTTAGAGAACATTAGTGAACAAACAGCATCATGAAGGCCAAGGAACACACCAGACAGGTTGGGGATAAAGTTGTGGAGAGGTTTGAAGCAGGGTTGGGTTATAAAAAAAAAAAACCAAGCTTTGAACATCTCACAGAGCACTGTTCAATCCATCATCTGAAAATGGAAAGAGTATGGCGCAACTGCAAACCTACCAAGACATGTCCATTCACCTAAACTGACAGACTGGGCAAGGAGAGCATTAATCAGAGAAGCAGCCAAGAGGCCCATGGGAACTCTGGAGAAGCTTCAGAGATCCACAGCTCAGGTGGGAGAATCTGTCCACAGGACAACTATTAGTCGTGCACTCCACAAATCTGACCTTTATGGAATAGTGGCAAGAAAAATACATTTTTGAAAGAAAGCCTTAAGAAGTCCCGTTTGCAGTTTGCGAGAAGCCATGTGGGGGACACAGCGAACACGTGAAAGAAGGTGCTCTGGTCAGATGAGACCAAAATTGTACTTTTTGGCATAAAAACAAAACGCTTTGTGTGGGGGAAAATTAACACTGCACATCACCCTGAACACACCATCCCCACCATGAAACATGGTGATGGCAGGATCGTGTTGTGGAGATGCTTTTCTTCAGCAGGGACAGGGAAGCTGGTCAGAGTTGATGGGAAGATGGATGGAGCCAAATACAGGGCAATCTTAGAAGAAAACCTGTTAGAGTCTGCAAAAGACTTGAGACTGGGGTGGAGGTTCACCTTCCAGCAGGACAACGACCCGAAACATCCAGCCAGAGCTACAATGGAATGGTTTAGATCAAAGCATATTCATGTGTTAGAATAGCCTAGTCAAAATCCAGACCTAAATCCAATGGAGAATCTGTGGCAAGACTTGAATATTGTTGTTCACAGACGCTCTCCATCCAATCTGACAGAGCTTAAGTTAATTTGCAAAGAAGAATGGGCAAAAATGTCCCTCTCTAGATGTAAAGAAAAATCTAAAATGATCCTACCAAGTACAACTCAGTACCAAGTGTGGAAAGGGGAGGGTAGCACTCCTCAGAAATGAACACCACAAAGCTCTCATGTAAAAGGTATGGATTTAGCTCATCGCATAACTCAAAGGGGATATTAAATCATATATCAAATCAAATATGAAATAATATGAATATATCAAATGAAAAAATTGAAATAAAAAATCCTCTGTACTGACAAATATCTTTAGCTAATACGGAATTTTATTAATTAATCAGTTAAAAATTAATGCACATTGGACATATAGATGCACACATTAAAAATGTCAAAGGTCATGTCTAGCAATCAGTAGGATATCTTGGATCAAAGTGATACATATATAAGGTAAATACCGTATTTTAATATTTATATAAATAGAATACCAATCAAAGCTGACAGCTCTCAAACCATTTACCTTTTATATGTATCACTTTGATCCACTTTTAACTGATTAATCAATAAAATTAAGTACTAGCTAAATATATTTGTCAGTACAGAGAATTTTTTTTGTTTATAATTTTTCATTTTTGATATATGAATTAATATCCCTTCATGTTGAGGTGTTGAGTTAAATCCATACCTTTTACATGAGAGCTTTTTGGTGTTCACTTTCTAGATGTGAAAAGCTGGTTGAGACATCCCCAAAAAGACTTGCAGCTGTAACTGCAGTGAAAGGGGGATCTACAAAGTATTGACTCCGGGGGGGCTGAATACAAATGCCGCCACACTTTTCAGATATTTATTTGTAAAAAATGTTGAAAATCATTTATCATTTTCCTTCCACTTCACAATTATGTGCCCATTTGTGTTGGTCTATCACATAAAATCCCCAAAAAATACATATACATTTTTGGTTGTAACATGACAAAACGTGTCAGCAGGGTGCAGCTGAACCTTTCACAATTTTCATTACCCTGTGGATGGTAGGGGGTGCTATGCGATTTCCTGATACCACCGCGGTGGCACACTTGAACATAATCAGGTACGCAAAGTTTGGACCTTGGTCTGAGAGTATCCTGTTGGGGCAACCGTCCTTAAACACCCTAATGAGGTGATGGCCCACACTAAGACCAGTAGCTCTAATAAGAAAGAGCTGTAGTTGTGGGGCATCTTTTTGATAGGCCAGAGATTACAGCTAGAGATGAGCGAAGAAATGAAAAATTCGATTCGACTGATTCGGGCGAATTCGTGGACAATATTCGATTCGAGTCGAATAAATTCGCTGTGAATTTAACTTAAAAAAGGGTGTTTCTAGGCTTCAGAGAGACTTAATATTAGTGCAGAACACTGTACCTTTAATTGAAATGCCCTTGGAGTCTGCTGGGGAAGAGAAATAATACTGTCTGTCAGTATGACATGCAGATGAGTGCCGTCGATCTTAGAATCACTGCACACTTCACTCCTTTGGCCATGTCACGGGGCCAAAACCAGTGTTTGGAGCCACAGTGTGGCGGTGGAGGCAGCAGCAATGGGAGGCCATACAGCAACCTATGACAAAATGGAAACCAGCAGGAGCGTGAGGAGACCTGAAAGTGGCACATGGCAGAGTGGGAGCAATGGGAGGCGGTACAGGGACCCAGGTCACACTGTGGGCCCAGCAGCAGCGTGACCAGGCGGTACGGCGGGGGCCCATGGCCGATATGGGGCTTGGTGGCACCTATGGAAGGCCTGTAATCTGCCAGCAACCTATGACAAAATGGACAACCGCAGGAGTGTGAGGAGATTTCAAAGTGGCACATGGCAGAGTGGAAGCAATGGGAGGCCGTACAGGGACCCAGGTCACACTGTGGGCTCAGCAGCAGCGTGACCAGGAGGTACGGGGGCCCATGGTCGATATGGGGCCTGGCGGCACCTATGGAAGGCCGCTAATCTGCCAGCAACCTATGACAAAATGGAAAACCGCAGGAGTGTAAGGAGACCTCAAAGTGGCACATGGCAGAGTGGAAGCAATGGGAGGCCGTACAGGGACCCAGGTCACACTGTGGGACCAGCAGCAGCGTGACCAGGAGGTACGGGGCCCATGGCCGATATGGGGCCTGGCGGCACCTATGGAAGGCCGCTAATCTGCCAGCAACCTATGACAAAATGGAAAACCGCAGGAGTGTAAGGAGACCTCAAAGTGGCACATGGCAGAGTGGAAGCAATGGGAGGCCGTACAGGGACCCAGGTCACACTGTGGGACCAGCAGCAGCGTGACCAGGAGGTACGGGGGCCCATGGCCGATATGGGGCCTGGCGTAACCTATGGAAGGCCGCTAATCTGCCAGCACCCTATGACAAAAATGGAACCCTGGGCTGGGGCAGGCAGAACCGCCGTATCTTTATCACGTTTTTCACAGGCCACCGAATGGCGACGCTGCATATGCTGACGCAACGCTGTAGTCCCAACATGGGCCCCCTGGCCACGCTTGACTTTCTGGCCACATAGTCGACATACGGCTACGTTTACTTCCTCGGGCGGCTTGACGAAAACTTGCCACACCGCCGAGTAGGAAACTTTGCACCCGCTACTCCTCACTGGCTGACTGCTACTTCCTCCGTGCACACCGGCACCACACTACTGGCTGTGGTGGTAGGCTGCAGTGGAGCTGCTGCTCTACTCCGTGGCCGTTTGCCTCCACTGACACAGCTGCGACCCTGCTGCCTCCTGGCAGCAGCAATGGGAGGAGCCGTACAGGGACCCAGGTCACACTGTGGGCCCAGCAGCAGCGTGACCAGGCGGTACGGGGGCCCATGGCCGATATGGGGCCTGGCGGCACCTATGGGAGGCCGCTAATCTGCCAGCAACCTTATGACAAAATGGACAACCGCAGGAGTGTGAGGAGATTTCAAAGAGGTACATGGCAGAGTGGAAGCAATGGGAGGCCGTACAGGGACCCAGGTCACACTGTGGGACCAGCATCAGCGTGAACAGGCGGTACGGGGGCCCATGGCCGATTTGACCTCATTCATCCCATAGTCCTGCCGACTCACGAATAGCGTGGCCTCCTCAAAGGGCCTGAGCAAGCGCAGGTGTCACACATGAGCTGACAATGGCTGACATCTAAGTTACACAGGGAGTACCTTTATCCGCTTTTAACATCAGGAAATCTGTGATGGCCTTTAGCTGTTCGTAAAGGCGGGTCTAACATATGTAGGGTTGAATTACACCTTGTTGCAACGTCACAGCATGAGGAGTCGGTACGGGGGCCCATGGCAGATTACATGTCTGGCAGCAGCAATGGGAGGCCCGTAATCTGCCAGCACCTATGGGAGGCTATGTCAAAAAATTCAACACACCAGCAGTGTGAGGAGACCTGAAAGTGGCACATGGCAGAGTGTGGCGATGGAGACAGCAGCAATGGGAGGCCGTACAGGGACCATGAGAGACTCTGGACCTAGCAGCAGAATGAGGAGGCGGTATATAGGGGCCTATGGCAGATTAGGGGCCTGGCAGCAGCTATGGGAGGCCGGTAATCTGCCAGCACCCTATGTCAAAAAATTCAACACACCAGCAGTGTGAGGAGACCTGAAAGTGGCACATGGCAGAGTGTGGCGATGGAGACAGCAGCAATGGGAGGCCGTACAGGGACCCATGAGAGACTCTGGACCTAGCAGCAGCATGAGGAGGCGGTATATAGGGGCCTATGGCAGATTAGGGGCCTGGCAGCAGCTATGGGAGGCCCGTAATCTGCCAGCACCCTATGTCAAAAAATTCAACACACCAGCAGTGTGAGGAGACCTGAAAGTGGCACATGGCAGAGTGTGGCGATGGAGACAGCAGCAATGGGAGGCCGTACAGGGACCCATGAGAGAGACTCTGGACCTAGCAGCAGCATGAGAGGCGGTATATAGGGGCCTATGGCAGATTAGGGGCCTGGCAGCAGCTATGGGAGGCCCGTAATCTGCCAGCACCCTATGTCAAAAAATTAAACACACCAGCAGTGTGAGGAGACCTGAAAGTGGCACATGGCAGAGTGTGGCGATGGAGACAGCAGCAATGGGAGGCCGTACAGGGACCCATGAGAGACTCTGGACCTAGCAGCAGCATGAGGAGGCGGTATATAGGGGCCCTATGGGCAGATTAGGGGCCTGGCAGCAGCTATGTGAGGCCCGTTATCTTGCAGCACCCTATTTTAAAAAAAATTTAAACACACCAGCAGTGTGAAGAGACCTGAAAGTGGCACATGGCAGCAGAGTGTGGTGATGGAGACAGCAGCAATGGGAGGCCGTACAGGGACCCATGAGAGACTCTGGACCTAGCAGCAGCATGAGGAGGCGGTATTATAGGGGCCTATGGCAGATTAGGGGCCTGGCAGCAGCTATGGGAGGCCCGTAATCTGCCAGCACCCTATGTCATCGAAAAAATTCAACACACCAGCAGTGTGAGGAGACCTGAAAGTGGCACATGGCAGAGTGTGGCGATGGAGACAGCAGCAATGGGAGGCCGTACAGGGACCCATGAGAGACTCTGGACTTGGCAGCAGCATGAGGAGGCGGTATATAGGGGCCCATGGCAGATTAGGGGCCTGGCAGCAGCTATGTGAGGCCCGTTATCTTGCAGCACCCTATGTCAAAAAATTAAACACACCAGCAGTGTGAAGAGACCTGAAAGTGGCACATGGCAGCAGAGTGTGGTGATGGAGACAGCAGCAATGGGAGGCCGTACAGGGACCCATGAGAGACTCTGGACCTAGCAGCAGCATGAGGAGGCGGTATATAGGGGCCTATGGCAGATTAGGGGCCTAGGCAGCAGCTATGGGAGGCCCGTAATCTGCCAGCACCCTATGTCAAAAAATTCAACACACCAGCAGTGTGAGGAGACCTGAAAGTGGCACATGGCAGAGTGTGGCGATGGAGACAGCAGCAAATGGGAGGCCGTACAGGGACCCATGAGAGACTCTGGACCTAGCAGCAGCATGAGAGGCGGTATATAGGGGCCTATGGCAGATTAGGGGCCTGGCAGCAGCTGTGTGGAGGCCCGTAATCTGCCAGCACCCTATGTCAAAAAATTCAACACACCAGCAGTGAGAGGGGAGACCTGAAAGTGGCACATGGCAGAGTGTGGCGATGGAGACAGCAGCAATGGGAGGCCGTACAGGGACCCATGAGAGACTCTGGACCTAGCAGCAGCATGAGGAGGCGGTATATAGGGGCCTATGGCAGATTAGGGGCCTGGCAGCAGCTATGGGAGGCCCGTAATCTGCCAGCACCCTATGTCAAAAAATTCAACACACCAGCAGTGTGAGGAGACCTGAAAGTGGCACATGGCAGAGTGTGGCGATGGAGACAGCAGCAATGGGAGGCCGTACAGGGACCCATGAGAGACTCTGGACCTAGCAGCAGCATGAGGAGGCGGTATATAGTGGGCCTATCGGCAGATAGGTAGGGGCCTGGCAGCAGCTATGTGAGGCCCGTTATCTTGCAGCACCCTATTTTAAAAAAATTTAACACACCAGCAGTGTGAAGAGACCTGAAAGTGGCACATGGCAGCAGAGTGTGGTGATGAGACAGCAGCAATGGGAGGCCGTACAGGGACCCATGAGAGACTCTGGACTTGGCAGCAGCAATGAGGAGGCGGTATATAGGGGCCCATGGCTGATTAGGGGCCTGGCAGCAGCTATGTGAGGCCCGTAATCTGCCTGCACCCTATGTCAAAAAATTAAACACACCAGCAGTGTGAAGAGACCTGAAAGTGGCACATGGCAGCAGAGTGTGGCGATGGAGACAGCAGCAATGGGAGGCCGTACAGGGACCCATGAGAGACTCTGGACTTGGCAGCAGCAATGAGGAGGCGGTATATAGGGGCCCATGGCAGATTAGGGGGCCTGGCAGCAGCTATGTGAGGCCCGTTATCTTGCAGCACCCTATGTCAAAAAATTAAACACACCAGCAGTGTGAAGAGACCTGAAAGTGGCACATGGCAGCAGAGTGTGGCGATGGAGACAGCAGCAATGGGAGGCCGTACAGGGACCCATGAGAGACTCTGGACCTGGCAGCAGCAGGAGGAGGTGGTATATAGGGGCCTATGGCAGATTAGGGGCCTGGCAGCAGCTATAGGAGGCCCGTAATCTGCCAGCACCCTATGTCAAAAAATTCAACACACCAGCAGTGTGAGGAGACCTGAAAGTGGCACATGTTTGAGGCATGATTCATGGCGGATTTAGTCAGTTGTTGTGTCAGGAACTGGTGGTTTGAAATCCAGACTAATCCACGCCTGATTCATTTTCACAAACGTGAGTCTCTCCACACTTTGGGTGGACAGTCGTGTCCTCCGCGGAGTTACAATACCTCCTGCCGCACTAAACACGCGCTCCGATGCCACGCTACTGGCCGGGCATGACAGCCTTTCAAGGGCAAATTCAGCTAGTTGGGGCCAAAGGTCAAGTTTTCGTTGCCCAGTAGTCAAGGGATTGTCTACCTCGGTTGGCAGGGTGCTGTCCAAGTAGGCCCAAGCCTGTTGTTTGAGCTCCTGCTCCAGGTCCACCTGATGCTGCTGCTGCTGCTGCTGCGGCTGGTTAGTAGTTTCCTCACTGCGCTGGTGAAGAAAGCTACTCATCATCGACTGCAGACTGAGGCAAGCCGCTGCTGGTGGAGCTGCCACTGCTCCTACCACCCCCACCCCTCCCCTGCTGCCATGCCAGCGGAACGCGAGCGCACAGGGCCCACAGTGTCTGAGGATGGACGTTGGCGCACAAAGGGCAGAGACCAACTGGACTACACATAGGTGGTTTTTTATAGTACGTAATTTTGGCCTCCCTCTCAGCAGGTGTGAAAAAGGCCACCATTTTGGACCAGGGAGGTAGCGAGGGTCCAACAAGGTGGACAGCCAAAAAGTCATCCCTCTGTCTGATGGTTATTATTCGGATCCTGTCGCTACGCAAGCAAACCGAGCATGCTATGGGGCCATTTTGTGCCAAGGAATGCGAGGGACTCCCTGCCTCCATCTCCACAGCATAACTGCCACGGTGCGTCTGGGTCCTCTGTCTCCTCCTCCTCCTCCTCTACCAGATGCTCCTGCTCCTCCACTCCTGTCCGCTGAGTGGAAAAACCACCCATTTTCACTCAATAATCTCCTGAGCACAAATGTACCCTCCTCTACCTCCTCCTCTTCTTCCTGTCCTGCCCCCACAGGGGTCATGTGGCGTTGACATCTGTGCGCCACGTCTACCGCACCCTGACCAGCCATTGTTAACAGCATTTGTTCCAGGACGTGCAACAGAGGAATGACGTCGTTCATTCCCATAGTCCTGCCGACTCACGAATAGCGTGGCCTCCTCAAAAGGGCCTGAGCAAGCGGCAGGTGTCACGCATGAGCTGCCAATGGCTGACATCTAAGTTACACAGGGGAGTACCCTTTATCCGCTTGTAACATCAGGAAATCGGTGTGATGGCCTTTCGCTCTCGGTAAAGGCGGTCTAACAATGTGTAGGGTTTGAATTCCACCTTGTTGCAACGTCGCAGATCAGGCGATGCTGTGGAATTCCGTTCTGCCGCTGCAGCTCAATGAGGGTGTTCTTTGCGGTTGTAGGAATGGCTGAAATGCATGCACAGTTTACGTGACATTTTTAAGGATGTCTTGCAGTGGGATGGTGGATTTTAGGAACCGCTTGACAACCAGATTGAACACGTGAGCCATGCATGGCGCATGGCACAACCTTCCTTGACGCAGAGCAGACACCATGTTCTTTCCGTTGTCAGTCAACATGGTTCCGATTTTTAGTTTGCGCGGGAGACAGCCATCTGTCGATTTCTCTCTGTTCATTACACTCAGCAGTTCCTCCCCTGTGTGACTACGTTCGCCAAGGCATACCAGGTGCAGCACAGCGTGACACCGTTGCGCCCTGCACATGTGATATGCGGTCGGGTAATGGGACTTGGCACGGGGGTGGCGGCTGTTTTGTTGTTGGGACACGGCGGAAAAAGAGGTGGTAGAGGCGGACATGCTTGCTGGACCAAGGACGTGCAAACGTGGAGGCAAAAGCGTCGTGACCTGTCCAAGTTGCTGGTGCGGCTGTGTGCCGGCACCACGTTCACCCAGTGGGCCGTAAATGACATGTACTGTCCCTGACCGTAGTTACAGCTCCACACGTCGGCGCTGCCGTGCACTTTGGCAGAGACCGACATGCTCAAAGACTGGCCCACCATCTCTTCTACATGTGAATGCAGGGCTGGCACTGCCTTTTGGGCAAAGAAATGACGGCTTGGCACTCTC